TTTTAGGTCTTCTTTGATGATGCATGACTTGCAGTGTCAATGGAGAGAGAGATTCTAACCTGGAGAGAGAGACAAACAGAAGCATGTTTTCTTCTTCCTTAAGATCTGACTCAGTTTGATTATTTATTAAAAAAAAAATTAAAGTATCTTTTGAACTTTGATAGTTTTCCCCTTGTTATTTCTATCAATGTGCGGTTCGGACCAGCAATTTCTTCTTATTCTACATAGAAAAGTATTATCCAAGGGAACCAAGGTCAATCAATGGAGCTCGTCGCTAAAAGTATTTATTTTTTAGGCCATTTTTAATTGTTTTTTCTTCAATTTTTTAGAGTTTTTCCATATATTCATATAGAATTCTAGCCTACTTGTTAACTTTTAGGGTGTCAAAATTAAATAACAAAAATAACGCGGACAAGACTCGTTAATTATGCCGTAATCAGCGACTCAACACAATTTGGTGAGAAATTTACAGGAATAAAAACGTAATTTTCAACTTATATGTGCGATGGGAGATTGAATCGACACTAGAAATAATTGAAGATATATTTCTTGATATCTAATAATTTAAATTTTTAGATAAAAAGTCGTGTGATTTCAATCAATAGTCTACTTTTAAAATTATGCTCATTAAGAAACAAATTTCTCTCTCGTTTTTAACAACTTAAATTTATAAATAATTTGGTGAGAAAAGACTAATAATGTCTTTTAACAAATTTTTGATCATTGAGGTTGTAAAATAGTAAAGAAAGATAATTGTTTTGTAAGCAAAATTAATGCTGCTTTTTTCTTTAAAAAAATTCACATGAGACAGCAATATCTCGATAGTACCGAAACAAGGAAGTTAAGTAATATGAAATTGTTTCAAAATTTTCACCTTTTACCAGATTTTTTTTGTTATTTCATGCGAAAACATCATGTTTAAGCTGTAGCAACGAAGCTTCTTGGTTAAAGCTGACATCAAAAGCGTGTTTTGTAATTGGTACTTCCGGTGATTTTCTTGAAATATTCTGCATATCTTTGAAATCTTAAATTAGGCCGTTTCATATCAGAAGTTCACTAATCTAATTTATAAATCCTAATCCGTAAAATGGATTTTATTTGTATTATAAAACCAAAATTAGACGAAAAATCTATAGGTTTACCACTTACCATTTATAGATAAATATGCCATGTACTTCGGCCTATTTGATGTCAAATGTGTGTTGATGCTAATGGTCTCTGAGTTAAAGAGTTCTCTTTGTCTTTCTATATAACTTAATAAACCTTAAACGCTAAGCAAAAATCAATCATTAAGGGTCTTGAGGCTAGCTATTAGGGTACAATCATTTTCGTTCATTTTTGATAAAGTTAAACCTTGTTTTTAATGATAAAATTAAAGATTATTTTTCATCGAAAATTATGGGTAAGATAACCACTTTACTACACGATGCAAATATTTATTCTTGGTCTTTTTGATCATCTCCAAACTTTTACAATGTGAATTGCGATTCAAATTAACCTAGACAATTTAATCCTGAATTGTTAACAGGATAATGTTTTTAAATAATTTGAATTTGTTGTAGACCTAAATGCCCCAAAGATATTGAATATTTCAAGGAAGTTTACAGAGGATAGAGGCTTTTCCTTTCTTAATTTTGGCTTTAGCATTACCCTAGAAACTGCATACCATATTAAATTATTGCTAATCCAAAAAAGTTTATTGATATTAGTATATGATTGAATTTGAGAAAAAAAAATTTGCAAAGACTGAACTAATCCAAATGTCTGTGTGAGAGAGAGAGAGAGAGAGAGAGAAAGACAGAGAGAGAGAGAGAGAGAGGCACAAACCCTAGAATTGAGATGGTAAGACTTTTTGTTCCTCCAAGTATTTCATCCTCACTTTTCTACCTATAAAGCTAGGTCTTCTCTTCTGACATTTTACCTCAACAGAAATCAGAGACTGTTTCATTTGGTTGGAGAATTGGAGAAAAAGAAAACTATCAAACATATAGAGAGAGATATATAAAGATGGGAAGAGCCCCATGCTGTGACAAAGCCAATGTTAAGAAGGGACCATGGTCTCCTGAAGAAGATGCAAAACTCAAGGCATATATTGAGGAGTATGGAACTGGTGGAAATTGGATTGCTCTTCCTCAGAAAATTGGTACTCAATTATGGGCTCCCTAGATCTCTCTGTATGTATTTGTGTGTTGTGTTTCATATTCTGATCATAAATTTGTTGGAAATGATGATAATAGGGCTTAAGAGATGCGGAAAGAGTTGCAGACTCAGATGGCTAAATTACCTGCGACCTAATCTCAAGCATGGTGGATTCAGTGAGGAAGAAGACAATATCATCTGTAGCCTCTATATCAGTATTGGCAGCAGGTCTCTCTCTCCCCTCCATATGCATAAATATTTTAATTTCCATGAGTTTCAGCACAAAATATTTGTCCTTTAGCCGCTGTCTACGACGCTTTTGTTTGAGGAATCACTTGTTCAGCCTAATTACGGATTAGTTACTTATTTTCTCATGAGGGTTTTTACTTATAATCATTGTAACTTTACCTTTCTTTTCAAATGTTCAAGATCAGGAATCAAATTTCTTTTTTACTGTATATTTATTCTTGGTAACTGAATTCCTCATACATGGGCTTATTTTTTTCAAATTTGTTTCATCTTAGGTGGTCTGTAATAGCAGCCCAGCTGCCTGGAAGAACAGACAATGATATTAAAAACTATTGGAACACTAGATTGAAGAAAAAGTTGCTCGGAAGGCGCAAAAATTCTCGCATGAACCGACCATCTGCAATTTCAGGTCAGGATCCAAAAGATGCAAATGGTGGAGAGGAAAACAATTATTTGCAGAATCTCAGCCGTTCTGCTCTGGAAAGACTTCAACTCCACATGCAGCTTCAGAACCCTTTCTCTTTCTACAATAATCCTGCATTTTGGCCCAAATTGAATCCCTTCCAAGACAAAATGATCCAAGGCCTCCAGTTTTTGAATGACAGTAATAATCAAAATTATATAATTCAAGGAACATCCATCAGCCCTCAACAGGCTGCTGTAGAATGCAGTACCATAAGCAATTTGAAGGCGGAAGAGCATCAAAATTCTGAAAATGAGAGAAATTTTCAAAGCTCAAATTTTGTAGGGCAATCTA